CTCTCTCTCTCTCTCTCTCTCTCTCTCTCTCTCTCTCTCTCACGCACTCGCACTCGCACTTTACTTTCCCTGTCGTTTTTCAGTCCCTTCTCCGCTCTCAATATGTTGATCGATTTGGAGGACATGCTGTGCATCTTATCACCACCGCCCCTCTTTCGTCATAAGTCATATAGGGTGTGAGGTTGGCTGGGCAGCTTTAAGGGGTGACAAGCTAGTCAGCGTCCTTTAGGGGGAGGGGGAAGAGGGAAGGGAGGGGTAGATCCTTCGGCAGATAGCGCGGGCATGGTCGACGTCAGGCATGCAGTCGCAGCCGTGGACAAAAGAGGGTGCAATATATATTCCTTGCTGACAGGGCTAACGTTTCGAGGAATTCGTCTGACAGGTTAAGAAGGAAAGGGTACCTGCGCTACGTAATAAGGATTCTCGTAGGGTGAGGAATGGGTTTGAAGTTCTGGTTGTAGGTAGTATCGTAAAATTCGCTGATATAAGGTGGCATGTTTTAATTTGAATTTGTTACTTTAGTCTAACTTTCTGTATGTTGTTAGCGCCATTAAAACACTTAGGTAAAAAGAAGGACCCGCGCGCATCGACTTAAATTGAGAAACAATATGTATATCCCATTTAGGCTACTTTCAAAATCTTTAAACGAATTGTTACTTCGCATGTTGCAGCAGTTCCCTTAGAAACCGTACTAACACCATTCTCAGGATCGGGCATGCGAAAGCCATCGGATTTCGGTTTGCAGAAAAGCGGTAGAGGGTGCCACCATATTTAGGCGATATGCCCACCATAAGATTTACGGATCAGTGAGTCTGCAAATCTTGATATCCACAACGCCTCGGAAACCCAGAACCGCAAGCCATAAATCCTTCCGCCCGCTTTGATCCTCATGAAGGCATGCCGCTCGAGAGCCAAATCCGCTCGTCATTTACTTCAAGGGACATCCTTCGTCATTTACTTGAAGGGGCACTACTCGCCATTCACTTCAAGGGACATCGGTCTTCATTTATTTTTATAAGAGATCTCTTGCCATTTAATTTAAGGGGTTCCACAGGCCCTGTGCTTCCAAGGGGTATCGCTGAGAATAACTAATTAAAAATCAATCAGCCGCCAAGGCAGTCGTTATCGCGGCCATTCCCTGTCCATCTCACGTACCTCTCTCGGGCATTATATTTCCTTGTTGAGGGTTGTTCTTGTTCTCAAGTTCTCGTTTTCGTTCAGGGAACTTGGTCATTATTATTATTATTATTATTATTATTGTTATTTTCTTGGCGCATATTTCTTTCAATGGAATTTTCGGATCTTTGCTGTGTCGCACTTCGAGCCAGAATTTCAATAGAGCAAATGTTGGTCGAGTTGTTCAAACTACTGAATTGTGACGAATGTCTATTGTTTTGTGAAGCTGTGGTAACAATGCGTTTAAAAAGGGATAAGGAGTTTTTTTCTTAAATTCAAGGGCTTTTTTTTAGCCTTTACTGTATTCCCACACTTTGGAAATATTATACACGAAAAAGATTATGTATTCAGATTTAAGATATTCTTGTATGTTTCCGTAAGGTGAAGGAGGGTCATGGATTATATGTTACATGTGATATATTTATTTATCTATTTATTTATTTAACTTTCATTGCTGACGTAGAATGATTGGTAAGCGGCAATTTGTAGAATCCCAGGAAAATGGCTTTGTTTGGATTCCAAAAAGGAGTTTTATAACGTCTGTGCTTCACAGTTGATAGTAGGAGGTTTGCTGCGATTTTATCTGTCGTATATGATATATGTATACGATTATTAATGTTTTGATGATCCGAGATATGGTATTGGTAATAATAATATTCCTTTTACTTTCTTGCTCTCTTCTTTTTCTTTTCATTTCTTTCTTTTCCGTCAACCTTTCCGCTCTTTGCTTTTTATCGGAAAACCAAGACTTCCTGACGCTCATGCACGCGTGTGATTTCACTTTTATTTCACATTCAAACCTGCACTTACCTACGATATATTTTTTTCCCTTGAATCGTGTGTTGTGCAGTTGAAATATTCCATGCAATGCGCAAGAAAGGGAGATCGATTAGGGATATGAGGCGCATATAATGCGTCATGATTGCAGAGTTGACAATGCGACCGACTGCACTTGCCATCAAGTGTGCAATATTCTAAATGTGTGTCACAGGTCAAAGAGCCTTCAAGACGAGGAACAAAAGCCATCCTTTTGTGCCCTCCGGACTGTGCACGGACACAAAGATACACTGCAATTTCTCTCCTGAATGTAAACTCAAAGTTCAGTAGGATATCTGCTCTGTTCTATCTCTCTCTTACGCTTCTTTCTCTCTTTCAACTCCCCCCCCCCCCTTCTCTCTCTCTCTCTCTCTCTCTCTCTCTCTCTCTCTCTCTCTCTCTCTCTCTCTCTCTCTCTCTCCTCTCTCTCTCTCTCTCTCTCTCTCTCTCTCTCTCTCTCTCTCTCTCCTCCCTCCTCTCCCTCCCTCCCTCCCTCCTCTCCCTCCCTCCCTCCCCCCTCCCTCCCTCCCCCTTCCTTCCCCCTCATTTACTCTTTATATCTATCTATCTACCTTCCTTCCTTCCTTCCTTCCTTCCTTCCTTCCTTCTTCCTTCCTTCCTTCCTTCCTTCCTTCCTTCCTTCCTTCCCTTTTCCCTCCCTTTTCCCTCCCTCTATGCACGCACACGCAGTATATATCTGATCCTCTGAACTATAATTGTTGCATCACCGAATACCAGGAAATGGATGTTTTGATTTTGATTTTGCATCCATGCGGTTCTGGGCGTTGTTCAGGTGAAACTAACGAGAGAATTGTGCATGGAAGCGTGTATTTTTCTGCTTATTTTACCCATTTGTTTGTTTTTGTTATCTGGTGGCCGTGAGTTACTTTAAAATCGAGGTGACCTTCGCAGTAGAATTATGTAATCGTTTGTAGTTCTCCAATGATAATGCAGATAACTTCAGATTTATATGTAGCATTTTAGCGCTGTGCATTGCGATAAATTAATGGCATCGGTTGTTGTTTTCAAGTGTTTGAGAGCATCGCATTCCATGTTTACTCGCGTTTTACTTTGTGGCGGTTCAGGGGAAGCGCACCGGGCGGAAATAAATCTGTGATTGCAAGTGTTGGTTGAACTGCCGGAGATGATGTGATTGCATTGCTGTTTTGTAAGTTTTAGTTTTTGATTTTATGAAAAGTAGGCTTAAGGAGATGAACTTGAATTTGCATAATTTGCTTTAATGACATTCTTGTATTTGACTATACCAGTTGAATAAGTTTTATTTTTATTCGCCTAGGACGAAATGCATGCAACTGCTTTGTTTTCGCAGGTTCATTTTGTTTTCATAGTGTGGTATTTATTTGGTCTAGATGATTTAAAAAAAACTGCCATAATCATAATTTAAACATGCAATTAAAATGTGTCGGTGATTTCAGATGGATCTCCAATCAAGGTTGGACTTAAAGATGGAATTAAGAAGACTGAAGTTGGTGCTGGAAGGGGCACTGCAACTGCACCCATCGGCAGCGCCGCTCAGCAGCAGGTGTGCACAGCAAGCAGCCGCAGCACAACACAAGCTGATGAGCCAACTGACTGTTACCTCAAGGAATTGTACGCACAGATTACGTCGTAGTTGCTTCAAAGCCCGATGAGAAGGATAACATTAATGAAGGTAAGCTCGGAAGCCTTGCATTGGATGGTGATGCTATAAGGAATGAAGCAATTAATATGCGATATCCTGTTTTAATAAAAGGCTGGAATTACTAATGACGTTGCGTTTCTCCGGCCACAGATGAGAGCGAGGATCCGGCTGCCGTTCCCATGATCTGGGTGAGCAAGTGGGTTGACTACAGCGATAAATATGGTCTGGGATACCAATTGTGTTGATGACTCCATTGGGTGCTCTTCAATGATTTCACCAAACTCTGTTGCTAGCTGATGGAGAGTGAGTAAACGGTTTGGCTTGTGTAATCAGAATGCAATCGCAGTTTTACCCCAGGCATAATTTAGCGACGATTTCCACCAGTAATTACTGAAGTGATTTTAAAGCAAAATGTTAAATGGTCTGCACTTCATTCATATTATGATTTGATTCCCACTTGATTCTCTATAATGGTAATGTCACACTAAAAATCAAGATGTTTATTGGCCATTTATTGGCATCCCAGTAAAAGAGCATTGTGTGTTTTGTACTTTTTATGATCGAAATATTCTAATTACAGGAACATTCACTACATTGAGCGTTCAAATGCTGAACACTATCATACACTGAAGAGCTACCCAGGAGCATTAAACAAAAAGGTGACGCTTCTGCGCTACTTCCGTAACTACATGAATGAACACTTGTTGAAGGCAGCTGCCTCTATGTGCCCAAGGGAGGGTGATGAGCTTGCCCGAATCCCCTCACTCAGGACCTACTTCCGGACACGGTCGGCCATCATTCTTCACTTGACTAATGGAACACTTCAGGTAAGCTGTTTTATATTAATCTGAATTATGTATTTTGATTTTACCAGTTAATTTTCAACCTCTCCAGCAACAATGGTGATATTCTAGTTTGTTATAATGGATAATTCAGTATTTGCCTTTTACATAGATTGCAATTCTTTGTACACCATACATTTCTTGATTAAAATTGAAATGTATATTTTAAGAGACCTGTAATATGGAAAGGATGGATGCATGTATATTGTCTTTTATTCGCTGTAAATACACTCGCAAAAGTTAGTGATTTAAGTCACTGGTAAAATTAATAATTATTTTTTATACAGATCAACTTCTTTGAGGATCACACCAAGATTATTCTCTGTCCCTTAATGGGTGCTGTCACATACATCGATGAAAAGAGGAATTTCAAGACCTACAGGCTGGCCAGCCTTGAAAAGGTTAGATCAAGTTATTTATTTTTCATATTTCACAGGATTTACAAATTGTCCTGAACAAAAGTTGGAAAGAAATTTAGAAAAGTTCATGTTGTACTTTTTACTAATAGTTTGTTTTTAACATCTATTTAGAGTGTTTGTGTAAGCATGTATTTGTGAGAGTGAGTGAGTAATTGTAATTGAATGAATTGAGGAATTTTTTGGGGGGTGAAGTTTTGTAATACAAACATGCACAGATAGATTTAAAATTTTTGAATATTTATTGATGTAAAGAAGGGTAATCAAATTGATTTTCCATAATTACTTTATTATTAAAAGACCCTCCTGTCTCTTCCAGTATGGATGCCGACCTGACCTTGCAAACCGCATGCGCTATGCTCGCAACATGATTCAAAAGCTTATGGTTACGAAATCCTCCACGACCAAGTCCTCCACTGCTTCTTCCTCTGCTGCTGCCCAGCACACTCAGCCCACCACTGCTTAAATAGTGCAACGATAAAAGTTACTGTCCAAAGGTTGAAATATTTATTCACCAGTTTTTCTAGTTATCTATTGTTTAAGCATATATGTGCTAGATCTAAACTTGGTTAGATAGTGACAATTTTTAGCATGTTACCTAAGTTGAAGAACATAGAGCAGTTCTGTATCTCTTCCTACCTGTGACTACAAGTGTCCATGAAGTATGCCACTGTGGCAGTGCTTTGGAGGTGCTGGATATAAATATCCATTCAGGTGGATTAACTTGTACCAAAGTGATGAATGTATGTTAGAATACAACTTTGTAATTAGCCTCAAAAGACTGACGGGAAAAGTCAGTTTAGGTCATAGTATGTCCTGATTTATATTTTCTGATAAGTTTCAAGAATACACACTATTGCATGAGTAAAGACTTAGGTTTTATGATGGTTACAATAAAACCTGATAGAATGAGGGTGCAACTTCTAGCTTGGAATCAAGATTTAGAAAATGATTGATCTCTTATACTTGTATCATTGCTAACTAGACTTTGGTTTTCATATCTGTTAGCATGTTACACTGTATGCTACTTAGTTGGCATCTATGGTTATGCCATATTAATGAAATGAAAATCCTATATATTTATTGTTTTTAAACATGTTTGTTTTATTTATAGGATGTTTTATAAGTTTGCAATAACTGAGAGGAAAACACAAGGTGAATCACAGTATTTTGTACTACTAATTCATAATTTTTAAAGATATTATTGCAGTACATGACTTTATGTTCTGTTTAGTTTAGCTTATGGATTTCTATTATGATATTTTATATTGATTTTGATTGTATCTGGGGAGTATATTACTGTAGGATATACCAAACTCAGATAAAAGTGTGCTTGGAGATGATATGATTTTTTTTTGTTTTCATTGCTATTGGAAATATTGTTGTTGAAGACTGGATGAAGTAAAGGCTAGATTGTGATTACAAGAATGTTCTAGCCATTCCAGAGACCGTTTTAGTATTTTTTTTGTGTTCTATAAAGAGAGTCCCACGCATTGCGCCCTTATGTTGATATAAGGAATTATTAAAGAACATCAGCTATTAAACTTTTATTTTATTTTATGTGAACTCATGTTCTTCCTTTCCCTGTAGTAACATGAATGTAAATAATAACTGTAGATTGTAATGTGTTTTGTACTCCCTGATGTAACATTACATACTGACTGTACTGACAAAAGTAGTATATATTTGGGTTTAAAGTCAAGGAAATTTATTTACAGATTTTCATATTCCACACTGCCTTGCAAGAGATTTCTGGTCACATATTTTCATCTGATTGCATATCATTTTGTTCATTATTTCCACAACTGTTCGTAATATCATGCTGTATGTTTATTTTACATCTTGTATCTCTATCTCTTTATTTTACGTGATACATAAGTGTACATAGTCCATGCAGTAAAATAAAGTATGTATAATTAAGAATATTCTGTCAATCCTACACTTCTTTTTTTTTTTTTTTTTTATTATTATTATTATGAATTTAGACAGACGTAAAAGTTCTTGCTGTGAGCAAAACATGTGTGGTGGAAAATCTTAGTGAACTGAACTTAGGGACTGGGATATTATCAATGGAACTATTGAGTGGCACTTTTCTTCTCTGCATTATCTCTGACAAAATGCATGTAATTTAAATTTATAAACATTACTTGCTTCCATTGTGTCAAAAAATTATGATGTAGATGAAAAGCCCAAGAAAATGTATATATGGTATCTGCACATTTACTAAATATAAGGATAGGCTAACAGTCTTGAGTATGGAACTGGTCCTTCAAGAGATTATTTAAATATTATAAATACAATATAAAGAATTCTCCCAGATTTTCAGTGACCTAGAGTAAGTAAACAAAAAGACTAAATATTAATAAATATAACATGAAATTGAAATAACTCGTTTGTTGTCCTGTTTATTCAAAATATTCTCAAGTTTGTAAGTCGACCAGCACTCCTATTTTGGTTGACAATGCTAGAGTGAAATACTCAAATTAGGACACAATCTGTTAATTACTTCCATTAACATGAAGAAAATAGTTCTATAATCTCCACTCATACGGGTGTAAAAGGAATGCAAATATTCCTTTAAGGAATATCTTAGACCTGAATGCTTCCTCCAAACCATATCTCATGATGCTCAGATCTGTTACAATATCTCTTGACACTAGCAGATACAGTACTTTCAGAGTTCTACATGTAACACTCCCCCCCTCCCCCATCCCTTGCTTTTTGTCGTAGGGGTTTTCAACATTACTAGATAGTTGACGCATAGCAACTATCACCTGACATCCCCCTTTACTATACCTTCCTATAGTGCTATTTGACCTTGGATGTCTAGCACATTTATTTAGCTTTTAACCATTGTCGTAGGGGGAAGGGCTTGAAGGAAACAGGCTCAATATGGCGGATCACCTCTACCTTGGACCTTAAACCTCGCCTCAACTAATTTGGCATGGCAATTTCTTCTTTCCTTTTCCTTCTCTTCTTCATCCACTTCTACCCACCTCCTAAAGTGTGAATAGTACTAAAAGGCTAGCTTGGTCTGTCCTAAATGGCCTTCCTACTCTATTTGCTCTTCCCTCTTTACCCTTTCACTACCATGCTAACTACAGCCCTGCGCAAGCTTTTACATCTAACATATTTCATCCTATTTGTTAACTCATTTTAACCTTTTTTGTCACAGTACGTTATCATAGTTCTGTGTAACCTTTGATGTCTGGCATATTTATTTGTTTACCATTCTGGGAATCCACAAATATCGCTTTATAAACCAAAAAACTTCCTTGCCCAGGGGCTTGTCCCCAAGCCTTACCGTATCACTATATTCTGAGTACGCTGCTAACACTCTTAGATGTTGACTTGGTAGAAAATTTTCAATTAATAAAATAAAATAGTTATTTATGCCATGTTGACATCACTAATGTCAAAGACTCAACAGAGTTTGTAAATATCTAAAACAGTTTATAATCCTTTATGCAAGCAAAGGTCAAAACATAAATATCTGGACTTGATAGCACTATCTTGCTTGCAGTTATACCTAGCAATTCTGTTTTACTTTTGACATTTTGACTCAATAATTCATCTAAGGAAAATAACATTGCATGTTTGTTGTTCACCACTTCTTTCAAAGAAAAAGCAGTGTGATCTTTAATATATAATATAGAGTAATGAAATGTTTATGGTGTGCATCGTGCCCTTAAATGCTTTCAAAATACTAACAAACGGCTTAATTAAAAAACTGATTTACAAGTAAAGGCAGAATATACTCGGGCATTCTTTTTTATGAAAATTTTAGTTCAAGAAGTGAAAGAACAATTTTCCCATAATCAAAACCTCGAACTTTGTCTCCTGCTTCACTGAAATAAGGCACTTCAGAGTTACATACAGTATATCAAATTACTGTGATTTGTTCTACATTTAGTCTTTGGTCCACACATTGCTTGCATCATTCCTGAGTTCGTGCCCACATAATGGACGTCTCTGTGACAAGTCTTGTTCACACCAATTACCTTTCGAAGTGGTGAATCTGTTACAATAAATAAATGAACAGAAAATTTCGCTTCTGGTGAAAATACCAAGAAGTGTCTGGTGTTCCTGCCTGAAGAGGAATCAAGCTTCATAGAACCGTCACCGTAACCTTGTGCAACATGATGTAGCCACATGTCTATTTCCTCTGCAGTCACAAGTTAGGTGCTTTCCGGACAGTGTTCGCTCGTGTGGACGGGATCAAAGCCTGCTGAAAGTTAGCTTATTTGTTGAAAAAAATGTATCTATTATCGTGAGTATACATATTCTCACATCAAGCTGCCTTTATATACATGCTATGTGCCTATCATATCACAAATGCCCCTTATCACACAAAAAGGCTGACCCAATTGCAATATATTTTCATCCTAAGGGACTTCGGGCGTGCCTTCTGTTACGGGTACGACGGCAGGGCCTTGTCGTGGAAATGGGAGAAAGCAGCAGATTCAACATTTTGCACAGCTGATCTGGATACGCTGAGGAAAATGACGTCAAAGGGTCCAAAGAAGTAATTTTTCCCGCGGCCCCGCGCTCGGCGGGGCTGCCTCTTGCTGGGGAGCATTCGGACGAGCCTGTGGTGTGCTTGCCCTTAATGGTGCAGAGGTTGCAGAAGATGGCCGTTGCGGCGTCGACGCAAGTGAGTGATAACTGATGTAGTGCTAGATTGGGGTCGTCCTGGAGTAGCAGACGAGAAGAATGTTTTTGGAGTGGTTTCCGCACGACGGTAGAGAAAGTTGCGGCGTGGTTTCCACAGTGTTGACCGTTGCATCGAGGCACGGCGAGCTTGTGTTGCCAAACGACGCGCAGTGACCTCTTCGGCTCCTGGCATAATCAGACGCACTGGGTGTCTTGCAGCTAAACCTTCGGGTATCGTGGATACCTCGTTTCCTGAATCGTTGGCGTCACTGAACCAGTAGACGTGGAGACAGGCGGAGCCGTGGATGTCACAGGTGGTGAATCAAGAAAAGTTTCCTGAAGTGGGCTTGGGTAACGTGGTAGAAAAGGAGGGCTGTGTCTGGGCAATCTCAATGTGTCCAAGGAAGGCTGTGGCGAAGTCTTCGAGGCAAAGTGTTAACGGACTGGTCCTGATTAACTTGCAGGATGCGGTATAGCGATCTGCTGAGAAGCAGAAGGGCAGAGCTGGCCGGTGTGGTGGCGAGTTCCTGAGACAGAGAAACTTGAGAAGATGAGCAACATTTACTGGCAATAATGGCAAAGGAGAAGGCAGAGGGGAAGGGAAGTTGAAGAGAGAAGATGGGGAGTGGTACCACAGGCTGGTGAATAAAGTTCTTTTCTTGAGCGAGGATCAGCAGGAGAGGGAAGTGAGCTTCTGGAATTGATAGCTGGGCGTCGGTAGGTTTAGCGAGACCTCATTTTGTTGATGAGATGTACTTTGCTCTGGGGTAGATTAGGTTAAAAGAAGCAAATGCTTGTGACTGGGGAGTTAGTGGAACGTCAGAAGACGTGGAGACAGGGACGT